CCACCCCGGGACCCGTCCCCCTCAGACCCTCCTCGCTCAGGGAGACCGCCCTCTGCCCCGGGTCTCTGTCCTCAGCGATGCCCAGCCTGGCGCCAGGCCGTGTATTTGGGGGTCTCCGCCCGCTGCAGGGGTTTCCGGGAAATGCTTCTCCCGCCTGTGACCTTCAGGCTCTGGGTCTCCAACCCCACCCAGCCGGCCCCGCCCAACGACGCCCTGCCCACTGGCAGCGGAGGGCCAGGCCCAGGCCGAGGGCCCCCGGGCAGCTCAGCCCCAGCAGGGCCTCTGGGCCCCGGGCACAGGGTCCCGCCCCCGCTCAGAGGGGCTCCCTTGGGGTCCTGCAGGGACAGGGTCACTGGGCGGGTCTCAGGGCCCGGGCTCTCCCTGGGCAGCGCTGCCTCTTCTCCATTCCTGCGGTGCGGCCCGCTGTCCCCGTGGCCACAGGTGGGGCTGCAGGAACGACTGGAGGGAAACCAGCGGCAGAGCCCAGGCTGCTCTGAGCATCACTTGCATTTTATTGGAAATCAAACAGCTTGAGAGGAGGAGACATCACAGGCTCACTGACCGTCGGACTCTGCAGCGACAGGCCCTCCAGGGTTCCGGAGTTCCCACGCCTACTCCACTTCGTCATTTCCAAGTGTTCAGGTTGTGACACTTAATAGAAATAAAGGCAAACCAGCACACAAAGCCGAGACAAGCTGACAGAAGCCCCCAGCGCCCGCTGGTCCCCCTCCGCGGTGCCTGGCTTTATTGGGGGGCTGGCTTTATTGGGGTGCCCGGGACAGGGACCAATGGGGAGGCAGCCCTCTAACGCCACACACTGACCTCAGGGCTCGCAGGCTCCTCCCCCTGCTGCCGGAGTACTTGCTGGCGCGTTTACCTTCCCTACCTTCCCTACCCGAGTGGAAGGTGGGCAAACCTGCCCCACGGCCTCCATCAGCACTTAGAAAGGCAGAGGCCCCGCCCGGGGAACAGGGCTCTAAAGGAAGCTGCTCCCGACAGCCCCCCGCCGCTCAGACCTACTCACAGCAGCACGAAGGGTGTCGTCGCCCACTCTCCTGCGGCCTGTCGCCCTGGCCCGCGGCCACCACGCTTCCATCGGGAGGACCCGGCAGGAAGTTGGATGAAGGGTGCAAACCTCCGCCTCCTGCTCCCGTCCCAACCCACGGCTAGCACGTCCCTGCCTGGGCTCCAGGCGCGGGCTCGGCAGCCTCGGCTCCCCGAAGGGAAGAATTTCATTTTCCCAAAAAGGCTGCCATCTCGACTCAAAAGGGGTTGTTCTGTTAAAAACCCTCAAGTGCCCTGTCCCTCTTCTTTATACCAATCAAGTCACTAGCTGCATGTTTATGTAAACTCTACACCGTCTCTGACCTGCTGTGGGGGACATGGAACCCCCCCCCCAAACCCCGCTGCATCCGCCTGCTCCAGGGGACCACCTGGGAACACTGCCCCAAGGACAGGACACCAGGCTCCTGCTTAGTGAATGACAGGGAGGAGGGAGGGGGAGGGAGGCTGATATTACAAATATCATCTCGCCAGTGCTACTAAAATCGACAACAGCAAATGCACTTAAATACATACAAAGTTTATTAAAAACAGGCTGGGCTGGAATACAGTAGAATGGAAGCTACAGCAGTTGGATGCATCCACAGTAGTGCAGTCATGAAAGGCCAAAGCCGCCTGGAGGGCAGGCCACCGCCTCGGTCTGAGCTGCCCTGTGCCGTGTTCGCATGTCGCTCATGTGCTGGTAGGCGGGGCCTTTCCATGTTAACAGAACAGCAGTTGGTCCACAGCATCTCTTGGGGGACATGTGGGCTTCGCCCTGTGGGGCCACCAGTGTCTCGAGGTGCCTGGGAGGAGCCTGCTCTCCAGCCGCCTGCACCCTGAGATCCTTCACGGCCACGCAGGCCTCTCCGCTGCCCGCCCCTCCCACCAGAGCCCTGGCCGCGTGGACGACTGACACGCGCCCTGGAAAGGTTTACCCTACAGTCTCCCCCGTGGGTCCCAGGTCGGAAGCCCCCCCCCCCGCTCCATGAAAGTGTGCGGGTTTCTCAGAGACATTTGTCAGACAGCAACGTGGCACAGAAAAGCCCCGGCCCCACCTCAGGGCTCTGTCCATAGAACATTTGATCATCATCACAGAGTCACCATTTAACATCACACAACATACAACAAAGTGAGGTCCGCCTCCCGACATCAGCCACAGTCACAGCTGAACAAACGACAGTGGGAACTAATAATTCAACGAATGGAAATTAAATAACCCTACCAGAGTGTACACAAACAGCTTGAACTGCCACACCAGTCATTCTCAGGAATAAATGCGGGGCCGGATGGCAGACCCCCCCCCCCCCCCCCCCCCCCCCCCCCCCAAACTTTTGTGCAGGGGTGTCGCTCTCGGCCGAATGTAAAATCCCTGAGCAGCGGCTGCTCCTCCGCCAGGACTCACATCCTGACACCATCCTAACGCAGGCTCCTCGCGGCTCCTCACAGATCCCCTCAGGCATCTGAAATAGTTAACGTTCTAACGCTAACTGCCACCTTCAAAATCACCAGTGGTCTAATAGAACTAATCTGGTATTTATAAAAATAAAATTTCCTAAGCTTAAAGCCTCAAAATGTTCTATTGAGAAAGTTTTCCCATCGAATAGGTAAGCGGGTCAGGAGGGCTTGCACCTGAGGAGCGGGCGGGGCAGGAGGGAGGCTGGTCCTCCACCCGCCCCCTGCGCAGCCGGTGCTCCAGACAGATCCGCCCGACTGGACTGTCCACAGCGCAGCCGCCCTCCGTAGTGCAAACATCCTCTGGGCAGTTCCAGCTCTTCTCTGAGCAGGAGCAGCTTCTGAGAAGGGAACAGGACTGCGTGCTCCCGGGAGAAGGGGCGCGGCCTCGGCACCTCCTGCCCTTCCCCTGCCCCCGTGGAGGGACCCACAGGTCTCAGTGGGAGGTCACAGGAGCCCGCAGGGCTTCCGCTGCACGTGGCCTCGCTGGTGAAATGCAGTTCCCGGCTGAGCATCCTGAACCCCAGCCCCTGCCTAGCCGGACGCACGCGGCCCACAGAGCTGGCGGGAGGGCGTGGAGGGCCTCCCCGTTCAATTCGTGTTCAGCTCGTTCTCCAGCTCCATGAGTTTGCGGGAGGCTTTCACTTTGTTGGACACGTCCTGCCCCTGGGAGAAGAGGCGCTGGCGCTCCCTGAAGGTCAGGTTCTCCGGGGCTCCCGCGCCCCCAGGGACTCCTGCCTCGTGGCTGCAGGGGGCGGGCACAAGGTTACTCGTCACCATGGGAACTAGTCACCAAGGAGTCAGTTTAATGTCAGGGAACAGTTTAGTCAGTGAGAGAAACTTGTTCTCAGTTAATTTGTTTGCGGGTAGTTTTTATCGCGCGCTTACAGGTGGCGTGGGCCATTTTTGCTAATTTTTTGTGCAAATGGCAATGTTCAGTAAAATTCCGGTAACTTTAGTTTATTTATACATTACCCGCATTCTATCGCTAGTCTATAAAAACGTATTAATACGTGTCCCGCGCTCTACTACCAGTCAACGTAAAACGTGTAAACACGTTTCCCGCATACAATGTGTTAAAATCATGAGTAAATTCTATGTCCACGTAGGAAAAGGGCAAACGCCCTCCTCCTTCCTAAAAACAGCAACTTCCTCCAGCCGCAGCCTCGGCTCGGACCCTCAGCCAGGTCTTCCCCGGGCAGCTCCCCTAGAGGGCGGGCATAGCCCAGCACGCAGCGGCGCGCCGACCAAGTGGGAAACGGCAGGAAGGTGCTACCGGCTCTGAGTAGTCTCTGCGGCCAGTGCAGCCTCGTGCCCACAGGGGCAGGGAGGGAAAAAAAAGGAAAGAGGGGCGTGTCCAGCAAACGCATTACCTTGTAGACAGCTTCTCTCTCGGGTCCCAGTGAGCATCATGAGCACCAGCGAGTGTCCCAGAAGACCCCGTGAAAGAGTTTGGTCCTTTTCCATAAGAGAAAAAGTCAACGTTAAAGCAGTTGCATTATTTCGAAAACTGTGCTCACGGAAAGGACACAGCACCCACAGAAGAATAAGACATTTTAAGTTGCTAAATGAAGAAAGCAAAAGCGCTTCAAATCAGACAAAAGCTCCATCCATGGCCACTCCCATCTCCTGCGGCCTGAGCCATCCAATCACGGCTCCCGGTGCTGCCCCAGCCCATTAGGGGCAGAGAAGCCAGCACAGGCCACAGGTGGTAACGATCAAAAGTTCTGATCAGTAAATTCACAGATATCAGGAACCCACGAGAAGAAGCCACAGAGGACTGCCGAGGTGGGGGGCAGCAGAATTTTCCAGACACTCCCAACACCAGGAATTTTCCTGCAAGGTCACTGAGTGCACGTGACCTACAGATTCAGAAGTGATTGCACGACTGAAGTGAATCTTTTCAGGGCAGCTACTGAATACCCCCCCTCCCCCCTGAAAATAAATGGCTGTAATTATTAAACAAAATGTTTTAAACAAATGGGCTACCAAGGTCCCTGGCGTGGACACTAGTCCACAGGCACAAAATCGCCGCCTGTGTGAACACAGCCGACCTGCCCTCTGCGCCCAGGGCTGTGAAGACCCACAGAGAGGATGCAGACAACAGGCTGAAAGGCATCCGAGTGAGCTCGTCTTGCCCAATGATCTATCATTAAAGTCCTAACACGTTGACAGCGGTGCAGATGTCTTTCTATGGGTTGTCACTCAGTAGGGAAGAATCCCACTGAAAAAATCTTCTGCCCGTGACAAAGCCTTAGAATCTGTAGTTTAAATGCAACTCTCAGCGCTGTCTCAGCCATGTTCCCTGAATGTGCACCAGCGGCCCTGGTCCTGGCACAGGCAGGACCCCAGGCCAGCGTGTGCCCACGAGGTCTGCTGCCTGTGCTGCGGAGCTCGGAGGAGGTAGGACAATGAGAGGAAGTGACCTGGTCTTGGGCCCTGCACTCGGCCACTGCTCGGGTCTCTGCTGCGCCCCCACAGGCATGTGGCCCAGGGCAGAGAGCCCTGCGTGCGTCAAAACAGCAGAAAGCTAGTGTGTCCCATGACTGTTAATAAGCAGAACCTTATCTTTAGACACCCAAAGTGGGAAAAGGGCACATGTTCAACCAAACATAGCAATTACTTGAAGAGGCAGAGAATGAAGGCAAGACCAACAGTACTTCACGCCCGAGGAGGGAGGAGGCCTGATTGCTGTGGGGGTGAGAGAGGGGGTTCAGAGTGCGAATCACGGGGAGACTAGCAGACACTGCGATCGAGGCAGAGGGAGGTCCCCATGCTGAGCCCACCGATCAGCTCGATTCAGACTCCCAGCGACTGGCCGAGACGGACCATACTCCAGCGCGCAGTGTGCAGATGCCAAGGTCCAATCAGCAAGACAGGAGGGAGGCCTGGCAGCTCTGCCCTTTACCTCTAGCCCTGGAGTGGCCGAGATGGTAGAAGCCTGCTGGCTTTGGAGGGGGCGGGGGCTGGCCTGCTCTGAGGGCAGTACTGTTGGCACTGGCCGAGGGCGGCTGGAAGGAGTTGGAGAGAAAGATGCCATCGGAGGCCGGGCGCGGCTTAAGGTGCCCACGAGACGTCCTGGAGCGGGAGCACTCATCCTGACCTGCGGGGCTCTCCTCCTCCTCCTCCTCGGTGTAGGCAACCAGCTTGGCGGTGTACAGGGAGTCGGGGGATAGGGCCTGCGCCTGCAGGGAGGAGGTGGTGCGTTGTGGTGGGGGGGGTGGCGCACCCGCCGGGGCGGGCAGGGCC